TTTGCCGCCAACATTTCCAAACTTGACGTGGTCTTTGCTGGTGGTTATGGCTCGACTCGACACCCCCAAGTCAGGCGCCCCCAAGACAGGCGCCACCCGTGAGAGAGCGAACACAAAGCAGGCTTGCAGACCAGCGAGACTAAACGTGAAACATTCATGATATCGTCACAGTTGTTCTCTGTTGAGAGTTTCAAGATGGCCGCTATATCTTGTATCCGCGGTGACTGTTTTATCGCAGAGGGTGTCGTGCCCACATGAACGCACACAATTCTGGTGTGCAAAACACTTTGCGCAAGATTGAGTTTTTTTAGGGTAAAGATTCGACCTCATGACATTCAGTGCAAGCCCATAACAGCTCTATCAACAACCATCGACGGGTCGCTATCCTGGTGGTACCTGGCTGACTGAATTTATCTGCAACAGTCTGTGGTCGGGGATCTATATCACACAGACTACTGGGAGGTCTCTTGTACATGCTAGAAGCACACGCATGGCTGTATGCATTCAGACTTCACCAGCCGACTCTTCGATATGGTGAGTACACCAGTCCATAATCCATCACTGAAATAATCAGGTACTGGTAAATTGTGAACTGAATTGATTTTTGTTGCTTGTTCTTTGCCAATACAATTTTAAGTGTATTCAGCCCTTTTGACTGTTATTGCAACTGCCTCAAAGTGATCTTCGAATGACAGCAAATCTTCTACTTCTTTTATTAGCTTGAACTCATTCATTCATTCAGTAGCATGTCCCTCGCGGAACCTCGCTGCCATAACAACCCTCCGGAAAACCTTCCTATCCTGAGCAAGATGTCCTGCGTCTGAAACACCCATCTGGAGATCATCTGCCACATCCTGCACCCATCTTCTCCTTGGCCTTCCTCTTCCTCTCTTCCCAGGCATATACCCCTCCATTATTGTTCTCTCTAGACTTCCATGACGTTTCAAGTGACCAAAATATTTCAATTTTCTTTGTTTTATTGTCTTTACTAGCCAACCCTCTTCAATATTCAGCTCTTGAAGTATGGATGCATTTGTTCTTTTCTTTACCCAAGATATTCTTAGAACCTGTCTGTAACATTTATATTCAAATGCATTTATGCGCTGTTCCGCTTGTTTAGTAAGTGTCCAGGTCTCACAGGCGTATGTTGCAATGGGAAAGATGCATGCTCTTAAAAATCTAGCTTGAACTAGATTATCTAAATATAAAATGTTGTCTCTAAAATGAATTTTACTGTTTTTTTTGTAATTCACTCAGCGACCTGTAAAGTTTGACTTGCACCAATGTTTCTCTTGGCCAAATGTTTTGCCTTGATATGTTGCATTTGGGACAGTCTTGGAGGACATGATCTGTTGTCTCAGGTGTCAGTCCACATGTGCACATGGTTGATCCGCCGATTAAAAATTGTGTGTACTTGTGGCTGCGAAGTCAATTGTGTCCTGTTTTAATGCGTAGAATAATAAATTGTTGTGGTCTGTCCATAATATGGTAATCGTCATGTGCCGGTTTATTGAGAAAAATAATTAGTAGAAAAGGAAACAAGATGAAAACAGATATTCAGTGAATAACAGTGTTGACTGGTAGAAGGTAAAGGTGCAAACAATACCATTTACATACGCAGGACTCTTTCGGAAAGAGGTATAGACATTTTAAAAAAAGATCTTAAGTGATGCTTCATTAACTGAAAGAAGCATTTGGTTGTGTGAAACATGAACAATTTAATAAAACTAATGCATAAGTCAGAAATTATTGCACGAATTGATAGATAGGGTGGCGGTAGACAGTGATAAAATCGGCCTCAGACTGAATAACGGGGAGACAGAACTAATGGTAGTTTCCAAAAAAAAAAAAAAAAATAATAAAAAGAACGCCTAAATGTTTAATAAAATTCAGAGGCGTTATTTCAGGACAAGAACAGAAATTTAATATCTATGCATATGGAATATGTATCACAGAGATAAAGAATAGAATAGGACATGCCTAGAAAAAAAAAAAAGAACATTTTGTGCAATGAATCCGCGTCATTGGAGGTTAGAAAAAAGAATTCTGGGATGCTATATAGGGCACGTGTTAATAAATTAATAAACAATTAATAAACAAGCCAACAATATCTTGAGGCATCAGAGATGTGGTTTTACAGAAGAATCTTTAGAGTTCCTTGGGCAGTTAAGTAGAGCGACCCAGATGTTCTGAAAGCTGCGAGTGCTCGAAGACAACTTGTCACAAACATCAGAAGGAGACGTTGGTTATGTTATGAGAAGAGGAAACATGAAAAATGTTGTGATCACTGGAAAGATCTATGGAAAGAGAGACAGAGAAAGACGGCGTGAGAAGATTCTTGACGGTTTTTTGTGATGGTATGGAGGGGTGTCAGCACACAACTGATACACGCAGTTGCGGATCAAAGATTGTGGAGAGGCATGATCGCTCACACCATTCGGCAACACACATGATGATTGTTTATTATAAGGCTTTTGTCATCAACTCTAACAACTGTATTATTCAGAGAGCACCATGAAAGTAGAAACACTAAGAGATAGGGACAAAGAAGAAGAAGATGGACTGAAGGAGTCACTAATACTTGCAGACTCCGCAACATCACAGCATACCTAACACCAGGCATGCGATAGCTCGGTTATCGATCATCTGTTGAACTGCGACGTCTAGTTGCACAAAGCAGAATACGACAAAAGAAAAGATAGAAAGTGGTACAACAAATGACCTGAAAGTATATGTAGAGACATGAGTCATTCGCTGCATAACAGAAACACATTATAACAAATATTTTGTCTAAGCTGATCTGATGATTAGCTGCAATAGATAGCAACTTCGTTTCTTTCAATGACCAGTCAGTCGCGGTTAAGACCCCTTGGACTGAATGTTGAATTAGGAATCGACGTCCAGCACTCAGGGCGTTCCCATAATTGACTCTTTCCGCTGTAACTGATCATTCCCCACGCTATTACACATCCACGATCGTGCAGCAGAGCTTCAATGATACAGTTTTAGGCTAAACCATTCGGGCCTGCTTAAACATTAAGTGAATGTTTCGGTGTACCGTTATCCTTGTATAGAGTTTCAGTTGCGCAGGCAGTGAATAGTGTTCACGCCAAATTGTATTACTTCCTCGCTCCCCCATCATGAGCTATGGTCACAAATAAGGTCTTGAATACAACTGACCACTGCGTTGTATTAATTACAAAAACCCGCGCAATTCACGTCCACATGCCCACACAACATTTGTGGTCTGCTCTTGGTTGTTTTATTTACATACTAATAAAAACACGCAATCGGATAACTATGCATTTTTTAATTGAGTGTTGAGCGTCTGTAGGATCCACTGGTAACTTCACGCAACGCCTTTCTCCTTAGACCGTAATGATCTAACTCTTCGCACTGTTCACTCGCCCCCAAAGGGCTCTCAATACATCTAGCTTGTCATACATCAGTTCACTACCAAGTGGTGCAGAACAGCCAGTATATCTGCCTGCTCATTTCCCAACACACCGCCATTACCTGGAGAAATTATCAAAATAATGCTAACTACCTCAGACCTCTGAAATGATACTTGCCATTCTGCACGGAGTATGCCTGTCTCTACCGTTCCTAACGTGCTCAGTGAATCAGTTACAATCACGGCATGTGTGTACAGCCAGCTGAGTCTCAAGCCAGCGGAAGGCAGCAGTGACTGCCTCCACCTCCATTCTCAAACTAGACGTTGTGATATCATATTAATGGCTTTGCTGCACTAAACGACGTCCATTCGCTTTTGCTACGTACCCCAATGCACTTCGTCTGCCCGTCAACACAGAGCCATCTGTATACATACTCATATAACGTGGGCGGGGCAACTTTTATCATGAATGAAGTATTGAACTTATAATTCTGCAGCACCAGCTGGCCAGTCCCTGCACTCATGACGTAAAGTGATAAGAACCCTACACAAGTCTGAAACTTGCCCGGACACTTTGATCCACTCCACATCTCGCACAAATTTATCAAGCCTAGACTAAAGTCTGATTGTGTCTTCAGCTTGCGCCATACAAGACCTTCTTGTTTTCAGTCTGTGACCCTTAGATCTACACAGGGCTTCATGCAAGTGGTGCTTCTTGTCTGCAGCTACTCTGAGATATGACTTTCCTTGCAGAACTTCGAGCCTATCTGCAATAGCAGGCAGTGCAGGCATATATACTTTTGTACTATCTGTACATAGATTGAACAGCCTTAAAAGTCTATGGTTAAGCACCAGCAAGGAGATACAAATTAGAATTTTGAGAGCATGCATCTTCCCTGTGGCTACATACGGATGTGAGTCTTGGACTATCTCTCAGTCCTTAAGAAAGAGAATAGGGGCTTTTGAGCTGAAATGCTATAGAAAGATTCTCAGAATATCTTGGACAAAAAAGATGAGAAATATTGACATCTTAAAAGATCTGAACATCAAGGAGGATTGGCTAATAAACAGCATCCTTTCTCGAAAGCTGAAATATTTTGGCCATATCAAGCGCCACGACGGATTGGAAAAAAATTATAGCAGAAGGTATGATACCAGGAAGGAGGGGCAGAGGCCGACCGATACGAAGATGGGCACAGGTTATAAGTGACTCCTTGAGTGTGAAAGTTCATGAGGCGGGAGAACTGGCTAAAGACCGAATTTCTTACAGGCAAACTGTGATGAGAGCGACGTTCTGCAAAGGACCTGCTACATGATGATGATGATGATCTATACATAGAGCCAGAACAACGTGCGTGAGAATGAGAACGTACAACCAGCCGGAGTCCTCAGTTTCATTTATTAGACATTATAAGTAAAGCATGTGTCTGGTATCAGGAGATTGTGTGAGAGGCTGTGTGGGACTGTGTGGGAGACTTTCAGTGGCGATTTCATGCATGCTTCAGTTGAATGTAGACGTGACTTGTGTTTGTCTCAAGTCTGCTGACTCCTGGCTTGTATAATCATCACCATTTTGATGGCCCCCATCATCATCATGTGGCTGTGTTCAGTCCCTGAAGTAAATTCTGGTACTCCGTAAGCCATCCGGGTATTCGGTTTTCTGAAACGAGATCACAGACAGAAACGCTGGAGTAGAGAGCCGACATCACTGGGAAGCCTACAACACTGGGGAGCCGACAACACTGGGGAGCCGACATCACTAGGGAGACAACACTGGGGAGCCGACATCACTGGGGAGCCGACAACACTGGGGAGCCGACATCACTGGGGAGACGACAACACTGGGGAGCCGACAACACTAGAGAGCCGACAACACTGGGGAGCCGACAACACTGGGGAGCCTACAACACTGTGGAGCCTACAACACTGGGGAGCCGACACCACTAGGGAGACAACACTGGGGAGCCGACAACACTGGGGAGCCTACAACACTGGGGAGCCTACAACACTGGGGAGCCTACAACACTGGGGAGCCGACAACACTGGGGAGCTGACATCACTAGGGAGACAACACTGGGGAGCCTACAACACTGGGGAGCCTACAACACTGGGAGCCGACAACACAGGGGAGCCGACATCACTAGGGAGACAACACTGGGGAGCCGACATCACTGGGGAGCCTACAACACTAGGGAGCCGACATCACTGGGGAGCCGACAACACTGGGGAGCCGACATCACTGGGGAGCCGACATCACTGGGGAGACGACAACGCTGGGGAGACGACATCACTGGGGAGACGACAACACTGGGGAGCCTACAACACTAGAGAGCCGACAACACTGGGGAGCTGACAACACTGGGGAGCCGACATCACTAGGGAGACAACACTAGAAAGCCGACAACACTAAAAAGCCGACAACACTGGGGAGCCGACAACACTGGGGAGCCTACAACACTGGGGAGCCGACATCACTAGGGAGACAACACTGGGGAGCCGACAACACTGGGGAGCCTACAACACTGGGGAGCCTACAATACTGGGGAGCCTTCAACACTGGGGAGCCGACAAGACTGGGGAGCCGACATCACTAGGGAGACAACACTGGGGAGCCGACATCACTGGGGAGCCGACAACACTAGGGAGTCGACATCACTGGGGAGCCGACAACACTGGGGAGCCGACATCACTGGGGAGCCGACAACACTGGGGAGCCGACATCACTGGGGAGACGACAACGCTGGGGAGACGACATCACTGGGGAGACGACAACACTGGGGAGTCGACAACACTGGGGAGCCTACAACACTGTGGAGCTGACAACACTGGGGAGCCGACATCACTAGAAAGCCGACAACACTAGAGAGCTGACAACACTAGAGAGCCGACAACACTAGAGAGCCGACAACACTGGGGAGCCGACAACACTAGAGAGCCGACAACACTGGGGAGCCGACAACACTAGGGAGCCGACAACACTAGAGAGCCGACAACACTGGGGAGCCGACAACACTAGGGAGCCGACATCACTGGGGATAGATGTATTTTATGACAAACAGAAGGCAAACAGAATAGGAGAGGAAGTGACAGACAGCCAGGGGGACACAGACTGTGTTTCTGTGAATGCGTCCTTGTGAGTGTCAATATAAATGTTTTTTGTGTGTGTCTGTGTGTGTCTGTGTGTGTCTGTGTGTGTCTGTGTGTGTCTGTGTGTGTCTGTGTGTGTCTGTTTGTGTCTGTGTGTGTCTGTGTGTGTCTGTTTGTGTCTGTGTGTGTCTGTGTGTGTCTGTTTGTGTCTACCTTGGTCTCTATATGTATATGTCTCTGAGTGTGTAAGACTGTGTGTATATGTCTGTGTGTGTCTGTTTGTGTCTACCTTGGTCTCTATATGTATATGTCTCTGAGTGTGTAAGACTGTGTGTATATGTCTGTGTGTGTCTGTTTGTGTCTACCTTGGTCTCTATATGTATATGTCTCTGAGTGTGTAAGACTGTGTGTATATGTCTGTGTGTGTCTGTTTGTGTCTACCTTGGTCTCTATATGTATATGTCTCTGAGTGTGTAAGACTGTGTGTATATGTCTGTGTGTGTCTGTTTGTGTCTACCTTGGTCTCTATATGTATATGTCTCTGAGTGTGCAAGACTGTGTGTATATGTCTGTGTGTGCCTGTTTGTGTCTACCTTGGTCTCTATATGTATATGTCTCTGAGTGTGTAAGACTGTGTGTATATTTCTGTGTGTGTCTGTTTGTGTCTACCTTGGTCTCTATATGTATATGTCTCTGAGTGTGTAAGACTGTGTGTATATGTCTGTGTGTGCCTGTTTGTGTCTACCTTGGTCTATATATGTATATGTCTCTGAGTGTGTAAGACTGTTTGTATATGTCTGTGTGTGTCTGTTTGTGTCTACCTTGGTCTCTATATGTATATGTCTCTGAGTGTGTAAGACTGTGTGTATATGTCTGTGTGTGTCTGTTTGTGTCTACCTTGGTCTCTATATGTATATGTCTCTGAGTGTGTAAGACTGTGTGTATATGTCTGTGTGTGTCTGTTTGTGTCTACCTTGGTCTCTGTATGTATATGTCTCTGAGTGTGTAAGACTGTGTGTATATGTCTGTGTGTGCCTGTTTGTGTCTACCTTGGTCTCTATATGTATATGTCTCTGAGTGTGTAAGACTGTGTGTATATGTCTGTGTGTGTCTGTTTGTGTCTACCTTGGTCTCTATATGTATATGTCTTTGAGTGTGTAAGACTGTGTGTATATGTCTGTGTGTGCCTGTTTGTGTCTACCTTGGTCTCTATATGTATATGTCTCTGAGTGTGTAAGACTGTGTGTATATGTCTGTGTGTGCCTGTTTGTGTCTACCTTGGTCTCTTTATGTATATGTCTCTGAGTGTGTAAGACTGTGTGTATATGTCTGTGTGTGTCTGTTTGTGTCTACCTTGGTCTCTATATGTATATGTCTCTGAGTGTGTAAGACTGTGTGTATATGTCTGTGTGTGTTTGTGTGTGTTTTTTTTTTCTGCACATGTGTCTACGTGTGCATGTCTGCCTGTGTGTCTGCGTGTGTGTGTCTGTGGGTGTGTGTCGGTGGGTGTGTGTCTGTGGGTGTGTGTCTGTGTACGTGTGTATGCGTGTTTTAGTGTGTGTACATGTGTGTCTGTGTGTGTTTGTAAGTGTGTGTGCGTGTGTGACTGTGTATATGTGTCTACATGTGTGCCTGTGTGTGTCTGCGTGTGTGACTAAATATGTCTCTACATGTATGTCTATGTGTGTCTGCGTGTGTTTCTGTGAGTTGGTATGTGTCTGTGTAGGTGTGTCTGTGTGTTCTACGTGTATGTGTCTGTGTGTGCCTGCGTGTGTGTTTACTTTGTGTGTGTGTGTGTGTGTGTGTGTGTGTGTGTGTGTGTCTGTAAGCCTCAGTGTGTGGATGTGTGTATATGTGTCTGTGTGCGTGTGTATATGCGTAATTGTCTGTGTATGTCTCTGTGTGTATATATCTGGGTATTCCTTGCGTGTGTCTGTGTTGTATGTCTGCGTGTTTGTCTTTGTATGTGTGTATCCGTGTGTGTGTGGGTGTGTGTCTGTGTGTGTCTATGTGTCTGCGTGCGTGTATATGTGTGTGTGCCTGTGTGTCTATGTATGTCTGCGAATATGTCAGCGTGTGTGTCTGTGTATCTTTGTGTATCTCTTTGTGTGAGTCTATGTGTATATATATGTGTGAGTTTGTCTGTGTATTTATGTGTGTGCGTGTGTGTCTGCGTGTGCGTGTATGTGTCTGTGTGAGTATTTGCGTGTGTGTGTTTCTACTTGTGTGTGTGTGTGTTTGTGCGTCTGTTTGTTTGTGTCTGTGTGTTTGTGTCTGTGTGTTTGTGTGTGTGTGTGCGTCTACGTGTGTGCCTGTGTGTTGTGTGTGAGTATTTGTGTTTGTGTGTGTCTGCGTCTCTGTGTGTTTGTGCATGTGTGTCTGTGTGTATGTGTCTGCGTGTGTGTGGGTGTGTGTGTGTATCTGCTGGTTTGTGTCTCTGCTTGGGTGTGTCTGTGTGTGTATATATGTGTGTGTATGTGTGTGTATATGTGTGTATGTCTGTGAGTGTATGTCTGTGTGTGTGTGTGTGCGCGTGCGTGCGCTAGTGTGTGTATGCATTATACTACTCACGCTATTGTGTTTTCACAGTCAAATGAACATAACATACTTTATTGATAAAATACAACCGCTGTGTGGAAGATGGGTGTTAGCAAGGGTCGAATGTAAGCTGGGCCTGCGTGCCTAATTTGTGACTCTTTGAAAATAAAGTTCGTTGGTTCGTTTGTTCTATGGCAGGACATGGGATTCACTAGAAATCACCACACACACACAACACAAAAAGTGCAAGTCGAAACTTCATTAGACCGATAAAGGACTGACATCAGTGCACTTGGTTTTATCTGACATTACTCAGTCTCTCTCAGTAAAATGGTCAACCTGTGGCAGGCTGCGTGTTTGAATAGCTCAATATTCAATGATAAGCGTGCGGCATTAAGGAATGAAGAACTGAGCTTACCCAAATTAGTTTGTTGTCTTCAATTTCGGACTTCACTCGGAGAACTTCGTCCGGTGTTTCAACGGGGTAAAATGCCCAGATCATTCGTTGACCATCCATGTAGACCAGTGTCTGTCAACAGAACAATTTTAAACATCAACAAATGCAGAAGACCAGATGTTTCAATTGCCCTCAATATCAAGAATCGGCTGAAGCTCTGACATAAACAGTGCAGGTTTCCATATCCCTGTTTTGCAAAGACCTAACCGACATCTCGCCCTTACTTTTATCTCACCGCTTGTATACCTCAGATTGTTGGAAAGTATCTCACCTTTCGATGTTTTTTAGTGTCATATTTAGTGACGTCTTCGTCTCGCCAAAAATGTCAAGGTACCTTGTCGCATTAAGCCTGTTTTTCTCTGGACCTATTCACAAACTTTTTCTTACTTTATCTGGAGACAACTCTAGTCACTATCTTTAGGCTACAACCGAATTCCATCTCTTTGTTTGTTTGTTTTAGTATCCAGAAGCCATGAGTTGTTAGCCCTTAAGCTCGGTATTATGGATATCGCAACCTTTCGGCCTTGATTCCATTGTAAATACCGTAAATCTGGGAGAAATGTGGCTTTTCTGCCTACCCCCGGTAGGGAAGCCGGACCACAAGGAGTTCGTCACCCGGTCTCCGCGCAATCCGGTTTATCCAACTACGCTAGAGAGCCGGGCAATTTACTCTCTTTATAAAATTGTATAGCTCACTATCAATAGAAACAAGTGCCATTTACTGTCCTTAGGAAAAATCCCAAATTCGCTTTCTCTAGCAAACAAATCGAATTCACTTTTTCTAGAGAAATTAAAAATTGGCAGGGACCATCTCTAGATCAAACTGGCTAACATTTGATAATCAAATGTGATCATGACCCTGTGACTGTTGCCTTAGCTGCCCGTGTGGGTTTCAGCTCACCATTTGGGAGAAGAACAGACTACGCCCGGTAACAAGCATGCAATAACATGTTATTAATTGTGGGTGTTGTCTTTGAAGTCGAAGTGCATCTGCCTTAGAGGCTAGGACTAACAGGCTGCATACAAATATTCGAGATCTGTAAAACGGATGAACAACCAGAACTGTCTGCCAGAGCTTGATGCTGGTGACAGTGACGCAGAAGCGCAAGGTACCCTTGAAGTGTCACCCGGATCTTGTGTGTCCCTGGACACGTTGCCACAATTTGTATTGGTACAGTTCCCAGATCCATCAGACTGATTGACGTCTCACATTTGTAAATCAGAAACACACACACGAAAACACACACACACACACACACACACACACACACACGAACACACACACACCCACACACAAACACACGCTCACGCGAACTTATAGACACATACACACTGGTATGGTTGTATGAAAGTCAAGTGTTACAAAAGACACTGGAGAAGTCATCTACTGAAAATTGTGTGTAGCAACGAACGTTTGTGTGTGTGTGTGTGTGTGTGTGTGTGTGTGTGTGTGTGTGTGTGTGTGTGTGTGTGTGTATATGTGTATGTGTGTGTGTGTGTGTATGTGTATGTGTGTGTGTGTGTGTGTGTGCATATGCATGTGCCTATGTGTGAAAAATAAAAATTTGTTCTCCATAAAATACTGGCTCCCAGCGGCGGACTGTTGCACATATAAGCAGTAATACTACGTTGTTGGCATAAACCATCAACAAATATTGGATTTCTCACAGTAACGATTATATTGCCCTATCAACAAATACTGCATTTCGTACATCAACCATATTGTTTGTTTGTTTGTTATGTTTTAGTATCCAGAAGCCATGAGTTGTTAACCCTTAGGCTTTGTATTATGGATATCGCAACCTTTCAGCCTTAATTCTATTGTAAATACCGTAAATCTGGGAGAAATGTGGCACTTCATCCATCAAAATGTCCCATTAACAAATACTGGATTTCTCACAGTAACGATTATATTGCCCTATCAACAAATACTGGATTTCGTACATCAACCATAAATATGTCCCTCCAGCAAGGTCTAGATTTTTCATATAGATAAAGTTTATTTCAAGAATCAGTGTGTTAATCCAGTGTTAGATGTTGGAGCATTTTAATCGTTTATTGTGAATAAACAATAACCTTTCTACTTCAGTCTATGAGTGCCGATCAATACATTGTCTTTTTGTCAATTATAACTGGCCGCTTCTGCAGCACTTGGTGGTGAACTGATGAATGACAAGCTGGACGTTGTGAGGGTCCTCTTGGAGCGAGTGAACAGTGCAGAAGCGCAGATAGATCATTACGGTCTGAGGAGAATGTACTAGGGGATCTGGCTGACGCTCAACACTCAAGGGGAAGGACGAGACGGATATAAGCTCAAACAGTTACTGGTGCCATCATAATTTGAACTCTTCGTTTGCTGCTGAAAATGGGGACTGAGCGCTTATGGGAGTGTCCCGAGTGCTGTGACGTCGATTCTCTATTCAATATTTAAAAAATAAACTCTAGATTTAATTGTATATATATGTATATATTTTTATATGAATTATTACAGTTACCATGACAAATAGAACAGGTGACAACTGTAATGACAAATAAAAGAATGATAAGTAAATCTAAGTACAAGTAAGAGTTTATACTGTTGATGAAATATGCAAGAAAGACCAGTCAACCACGAGATCTGCAAGAAAGACCAGTCAACCACGAGATCTGCAAGAAAGACCAGCCAACCATAAGATCTGCAAGAAAGACAAAGCCAACCATGAGATCTGCAAGAAAGGCCAGCCAACCATGAGATCTGCAAGAAAGACCAGCCAAACAATGAGAATGGCAAGAAAGACCAGTCAACAATGAGAATGGCAACAAAGACCAGTCACCAATGATAATGGCAACAAAGACCAGCCAAACAATGATAATGGCAACAAAGACCAGCCAAACAATGAGAATGGCAAGAAAGACCAGTCAACAATGAGAATGGCAACAAAGACCAGCCAAACAATGAGAATGGCAACAAAGACCAGCCAAACAATGAGAATGGCAAGAAAGACCAGTCAACAATGAGAATGGCAACAAAGACCAGCCAAACAATGAGAATGGCAAGAAAGACCAGTCAACAATGAGATTGGCAACAAAGACCAGCCTACCTTAACGTAATTGTTGTCCGGATACAGCATCATGAACATCTCACCCAGGATGAACTCGTAGGAGAGCGTCCTGCCAGCCCCTACAAAGCCCTGCTCCACTCTCCAGAGTCCATTGTTTCTGGTGTACTGAATGTAGTTTTTGATGTCCAGCTCCTTCAAGATCTCTTGCTGCCGCCTGTCGTGTTCTGGCAGGTACACACAAGAGGTAGAGTAGATGGCTCCATTTACACAAACATTTGAGTTACATGTGACCAGGCTTCCGGTCTAAATGGAGGTTAGGCACAGCCACAGTTTCTAGTCATGGAACAATTTTGTTTCTGACAGAGTGTCGCTCTCCAATTGTGTTCGTGCTGTCGGGTGGGTTAGCCAGTGCATTGCCATAGAGAATCAGTATTGACATGTTTTTGTTCTTAATGTATTTTTTTTCTGTGTCTTCCTTCTAATGTTTTGAGTGCAATAATTTGATCTCTAATTCATTCAGACTGTTCCTGATGCTGTCGTTCCACTATTTGTATGATCTTCCTTGAGCTCTGTGATTTCTTCAACTTGGCTCTGGATGGCAGTTGGTACTAGGACATTTTAGTCAGATAACCAAACGATCGCCTGTGTTGCTCTTGAATGAACTACTTGACATCACAGTCATCGACATTGAAAACAAAAACATCAGTCCTAACTTTACGATGTCGCATCTCCCGCCATGAAGGTATCCGTTCAATGAGTTAAGTAAACTGGTGCACATACATACAGCGATTATCTCATATTTTTATGTAACAAACAGTATTCGCCTGGGGATGCCAACGGCATTCTGTCGACTGACTTTACTTCCCAAAACTTATCCAGCTACTCATTTTAGGCTAGGTCGACACAACAATCAGTTCATTTTCTTCTGATTAGACCGGTGTGGGTTGGGAAACAAGGGGACACCAACAGTCCACACAAGCTAACATATACACAAACCCCCTCACCACCACACACACACACAGTCACAGACACATACACAGACACACACATACAGACACACATAGACACACACGCATCACACACACACAGAAACACATACACACACAGACACACACACACACGACACACACACAGACACACAAACAGAGACACACATAAACATGGACACACACTCACAGACACACACAGACACACACACACACACACACATACACACACACACACAGACACACACACATACACACACAGACACTGACACACACCCACACAGTGGTCAGCTACTAACCTGCTATCTGACCCTGCATCTCAAGTGCCTGTTTGGGGTCGTGCACCCACATGCCCAGGTATATATCCAGGCAACGGCTGGGATCAGGCGCTTTTATCTTACCGCCAACATTGCCTAATTTGACGTGGTTGTCTGTGGTTATCTTTCTACCAGCCGCCACCAATATCGGCACCACACGGGGAGAGACTGAACACCTGATCGGCACCACACGGGTGCAGATTGAACACAAAATTGGCTTTGAAGCCCTAGAAACAAGTCTGGTCACAATCATTGTAGTGAATGTGCTCTTTGTTGGCAGCCAAGAAACAAAGCGTTGTTGATACCTGCTGTTGTCCTTGGTTACGGCGCGACAGTTCAGCTCAGTGCCTCATTATGAACACAGGAAGGCACCAGTTCAAGAGTGCACACCTCTAGAGATGGTCATCTGTCCTTCCTGGCTTCAGGCCGCAGAGTTCGGCGCCCCTTACCATCATCGTGTGCCGTACCGACAGTCATCTCACATGAACACCACGGATCAAGTCAATGTTCTTTCCTAACCCCCATGCATATCGAGAAGCCATCTATGTATTTATCTCTTCGCCTTTCTCCTGCTCTGTTTCCATCAATCTGGCCAGTCCGTACCTGGTTCTTCAAGTCCCATTCCTTCTGAGAACGTGTCTGGAAACACCGACTGTCAACCTCTGATTTGTCTAACCCACTTCCACACTCCACCCTCCCCCCGTTTTCGTCTGTCTCAAGAACTGCTTGAAACCAGTCTATGATATTCCGTGTAATGTTCTCAAAAACCACATATTTGCTCATCATCATCATGTAGCAGGTCCTTTGCAGAACGTCGCTCTTATCACGGTCTGCCTGAAAGAAACTTGGTCTCTCGCCAGCTCTCCCGCCTCATGCACTTTCATACTCAAGGAGTCACTTATATCCTGTGCCCATCTTCGTGTCGGCCTGCCCCTGTCCCTCCTTCCTGGTACCATGCCTTCTGCTATAATGTTTTCCAATTCGTCGTGGCGCTTGATATGACCAAAATATTGCAACGTCCGAGACAGGATGCTGTTTATTAGCCAATCTTCCTTGATGTTCAAATCTTTCAAGATGTCAGTATATCTCCTCTTCTTTGTCCAAGATATTCTGAGAATCTTCCTATAGCATTTCAGCTCAAAAGCACTTATTCTCTTTTGATTTGATTTGATTTGATTCAAGAACCGACATCACAGCACTCGGGGCATTCCCATAAGCGCTCCGTCCCCATCTTCAGCAGCCAACGAAGAGTTCCGATACTAATGGTGCCAGTAGCTTTCTGATTAAACGTCCCGTCTTGCCTTTCATCTAAGCCTCGAGCTTCTGCCAGAACCTCTCGTCACCCCCAACTGCATCAATCTCACCAGACTGTGGTGATCCATCTGGTGATCCGAATTGTACACGCTCTCCCACAAGGCATTAACCACGTCTGCCCTATCATGTATCAGTATTCCACCAAGTTGTGCAGAGCCAGCCAGTCTGTCCGCCTGTTCATTTCCCAACACACCGGCGTGACCTGGTGAAAAAATCCAGACAATACTCCTCACTCGTGTCCTCCGCAGCGAATCATGCCACTCTGCACGAAACATACCTGTTCTGATCTTCCTCAGCATGCTTTCTGAATCAGTTACAATTACAATGTGTGTGTGTGTTGTGTGTTCTCTAGCCAGCGGAAAGCTGCAGTGACCGCTTCCACCTCCATTCTTAAGCTGGATGTTGTGGTATCATATGCTAGGCTTTCCTGCACCAAACGTCGACCATTAACTTTTGCTAAGAAGCACCAAGCACTTCTTTTGCCTCTTGACACTGAGCCGTCTGTGTAAATGATCAAATCCTCTGAGCGAGCATTATCTTGAATTAATTGCTGAATTTCCACCTCTGTGGCACCTGCTGACTAGTCTCTGCATTCCCGGCTCAGCGTGATTAGGACTCTACACAAGTCTGACTGCTCAGGTGGCACTTCGACCCACTCCTCTCCTCGCCTTATGTTCTCAAGGATGCAAACCTGTCTGATTGTGTCTTCTGCCTGAGCCATCCATGACCTCCCTCTTATCAGCCGCTGACCCTTAACTGCACCCAGAGCTTCGTGCAGAGGGTGGTCACTAACCGCTGAATAATGTGAGAGCACGTGCCCTATAGCTCCGTCACATGGACTGTCTCTTGTTTGAAGGACAACTTTGTAGTTTACTAATATTTACTAGAAGCAGATCTGATACAAGTCAATATTTGTGTACATAATCAAACATGTGGTCAGCATGGCTCTCAGTGAATGTTGGTACCAGGCCTTTCTCCTCCGACTTAGCGACACAACCTGTAAACAGGAGGAGTGCATGCGCGGAGTTTTACAGCCCGTCCTCAAATGGGAGGCAATTTTTGTTTTGATTTTGGGCCCCAACCCGGCTCTTGTAGTTGCCCTAAAAAACTTAAAGGTTGAATAGAGTTTTTGGGTTTTGTGTCCGGATGATCCTCATCCGAATGGTGGCACTTTGTGGCGCCGCCTGTTTGTCTCTGATTGTGCGATCCTGGTGCGGTTGGACGTCACTCACGTGCATAGTATAAATGATAGCTTGTGTTGCGCAGGTTAATGCTTGATATCTTTATTTCTGTCAGTCAGAAAACATGTCAGGATTCCCTGAACCACCTTGATGTCGTGCAGCCTACCGATACAACCTCTCTCACGAGTCTTGCCCTCCCATTTAACACTATATGGGAAGTAAAGGCAGTCAGAATAATATTGGTGTGAGGGGTCAAAACAAATGTTTGCATAAACTGACGCCGGCGTTTGGATTGCCACAACTGTGAAAAAACAAACAAAAACTACAGGAATGAATAGATTCCGTGGTGGTGGAAAGTGAAAAAATGAGCCCCAGTTTGAATAATGGGAAGACAGAAGTAATAGTGAAGAGAGTCTAAACATTTATTAGAAGTCAAAGTTATTTTAGGACAGGTAGATAAATGTAAGTTTCTAGGTACATAGTCACATCCGACGGAAGAGGTATCTCAGTGATAAAGAACAGAACAGGGCATGCTCAAACTGCATTTGATAAAATACAAATTAAACAAACAAACTAGAAAAATATTTTTTGATTGCTATAAAGCCAGTTTTAATATCATCATCATGTAGCAGGTCCTTTGCAGAACTTCGCTCTCATCACAATCTGCCTGGAAGAAACTGGGTCTCTCGCCCGTTCTCCCGCCTCATGCACTTTCATACTCAGGGAGTCACTTATATCCTGTGCCCATCGTGTTGGTCGGCCCCGTCCCCTCCTTCCTGGTATCATGCCTTCTGCTTTAATTTTTTTCCAATCTGTCGTGGCGCTTGATATGACCAAAATATTTCAGTTTTCGAGAAAATATGCTGTTTATTAGCCAATCTTCCTCGATGTTCAGATCTTTTAAGATAGTTTTAATATATGGCTGTGAATACTAGGCAATTCATTTTTGTTTAAATATTTAGAAACCATAAATTGGCTCGGTACTATGGATATCGCACCTATTCAGCCTTGATTTCATGAACGCGGACCACGAGGAGTTCGTCAGGTTTAACCAGCTGAGCTAGCGAGCCGGATGGTTCTTCGGGTCTCACAGATGTGGTTGTACAGAATAACGTTTAGAATTCTTTGATCAGAAGTTTTGAAAGAGGCGAGGGTTCGAAGACGACTTGCCACAAACGTCAAAAAGAGACAGTCACCATTTTTTTGAGGGTCGTGTTGTGAGAAGGGGACTGGAACTTGTGACAACTGGAAAGATCTGTGGAAAGGGAAACACAGGAAGACAACACATGAGGATTCTTGACAGTCTTTGATCACGGCATGGTGGGGTGTCAACACACGAACTGGTATATGCTGTTGAAGATCGCAGATGTCGAGAGACACGATCTGCCACGTCAGTCGGTAAGGCACTTGATAATGACAATCAGTAGGAGGAAAAGAGCTCTTTATTTTCAATGTTATAGGAATATTTTATTGTCGAGAAACCGTAAATGTCAGTAAAGACGCTTTCTAATGCTAATTCGCCAAATTCACTTATAGGCTTATTGGAGATGCACAAATATGAATGATCGTGATGCTGACCACATTCCCCATCTCGTGCCGAGTGGTCTATACAAATATAGGTCTAGCTCTATGTGTCCTTTACTTTTACTTACTAACAAATATGAATTCAAGTGAAATGAAGTGAAGAAAACAATGTGAAACAAAAAACATTATACTGTATTTGTCAAGTTAGTGTGTGTGTGTGTTAATCTTTACCTGTCACACAAGCTGCAACCGGAAAGGACAACATGCGACCACAACATGTGATCACAACATGTGATCACAACATGTGACCACAACATGTGAACACAACATGTGACCATAACACGCTATCACAACATGCGATCACAACAGGCTATCACAACATGCGACCACAACATGTGACCACAGCATGTGATCACAACATGTGACCACAACTTGTGAACACAACATGTGACCACAACATGCTATCACAACATGCGATCACAACAGGCTATCACAACATGCGACCACAACAGGCTATTACAACATGTGACCACAACATGCGACCACAACATGTGACCACAACATGTGACCACAACATGCGACCACAACATGTGACCACAACATGTGACCACAACATGTGACCACAACATGCGACCACAACATGTGACCACAACATGTGACCACAACATGCGACCACAACATGTGACCACAACATGTGACCACAGCATGCGACCAGAACAGGCTATCACAACATGCGACCACAACAGGCTATCAAAACAGGCTATCACAACATGCGACCACAACATGTGACCACAACAGGCTATCACAACATGCTACCACAACATGTGACCACAACAGGCCATCACAACATGTGACCACAACAGGCTATCACAACATGTGACCACAACATGTTACCACAACATGTGAGCACAACATGTGACCACAACATGTGACCACAAAATGTGACTACAAGAGGCTATCACAAAATGTGACCACATCATGTGACCACAACATGTGACCACAACATGCGACCACATCATGTGACCACAACATGTGACCACAACAGGCTATCACAACATGCTACCACAACATGTGACCACAACAGGCCATCACAACATGTGACCACAACAGGCTATCACAACATGTGACCACAACATGTTACCACAACATGTGAGCACAACATGTGACCACAACATGTGACCACAAAATGTGACTACAAGAGGCTATCACAACATGTGACCACATCATGTGACCA